GGTGGCAGCGGGTGAAGTGCGGCCGCCAGCACCGGTCGCTGCGTGGTTCCAGATAGCAGCGAGACTTTAAACCTTGGAGCCCCGGGAAGGTCACGTCCCGCAGCGCCCGCGTCCCCGGACTGAACCGGGCCGTTGTCTTTCTAGCTATGACATGGTGCACTATGGCCACTCCAACCAGCTGCGCCAGGCTCGGGCCATGGGAGATTATCTGATTGTTGGAGTCCACACGGATGGTAAGAGGTTTTCTCAGCTTTTCACCTCGTGCCGCCTCGAGAATCGCCCAGCAGTGTTTGCCCCCAGGGAGCGGAGATGTCCTGCTGCAAAGCAGGCGTCTTCCCATGTTTCGTCAAGAAGCAGCAGCCTCCGACAGAAAAGCGTATCTTCCCTGGGTGAGGGAGCGCAGGTGCCCCTTGCACGCTTCCCGGAGCGAGGGGGAGGTAGTTAGAGCTCGCAGGCTGCGTTTGAGGGGTGAGCTGTGTTCTGTGCTGTGAAAACAACTGGACCCGTTGAAAGTGAGTCAGGTTTTGCTGGTGCAAACTGCAGAACTGGTGTTCCAAAACAGATTACTGCGCGGAGGAAACTCGTTTCAAGCCCATCTGGAAGTTAAGTGCTCGGAACTAGTTCTTGCATGCGAAGATGGATTTTAAGCTGGTTTATGGATGCATATTTTCTAGCATGAGTGAAGCGTAGCATGAAGCTGTTGTTTATAAGGGGAATTCCCTCTCGGGGGCTGCCAGGAGGCCCAGGTAGTCCCCCCAGGAGGGAATATCTGGGTACAGGGAGGTACCGAGACCTTTTGCTTTCCGAGTGAATTCCAGGGCCCTTGTTAGGCACTTAGGAAATGCAACTGAATTAAAATATTTTCTGATCTAGCTGGGGCTTCCTTCTGTGCCACAAACCAATTCCACGCTGAGCATAAGACCGCAGTGAAGTTCACCTGCCTGTGAAATGCGTGAGGCTCCTGTAGGTGAGAGTCTTCGTAGCTGTAGTACGTGCCTCTAACTGGGTTTTTCTGTTTTTCGGCCAGAGGAGATTGCCAAGCACAAGGGCCCCCCTGTCTTTACACAGGAGGAGAGGTACAAAATGGTGAAAGCCATCAAGTGGGTGGATGAGATTGCTCCAGGAGCTCCCTATGTCACCACACTGGAAACCCTGGACAAATATAACTGTGACTTCTGCGTGCACGGTGGTGAGTGGTATTCTGAGGCAATAGCTCTGTTAACGCAGGCGCTGCGGGGCTCGTGTGCTCTTGAATTCCCTGCTGCAAACCGAGGAGCATTCTGGCCAGCGCTGGCTGTTGGAGGGCACCTTGTGTGCACCACCTTACCAACACCTGCACTGGGCAGCCTGGCTGTTCCTGTTCTGGTGCTCCGGAGAAACACGTTTGTGTGCTAGGCACCCTAAGAGTGGCCGGTTCCTTTTGACTTACGAGGGTGAAACGCACTGTCTGACAATTACCCTGAGGTTGCCCTTTGAACAAGCAGAGCTCTCTGCGTAGGGCAAAGTCGTTTACAAAGCTTAAATGTGAAGAATGTTGTTGAAAGGGTAAGTGTGCAGAAATGCAATCATGTTTATATCTGCTTAAGTTGGGATGAGATCAGATCTGAAAAGCTGCTCTCTCTTTATCCAGCTGGTAAGAAGTTCGAGGGCTTAGCTGGCCGTGTGGTCAGAGACCTAGTTCTTACTGCAAACACTTTGCAGTTTACAGTCACTGAAGGGAGCCAGTGTTCTGAGGAAATGTTCTTACTTTTGTACTCTGTCCTTCCTGGGACTGCTGCTGGTGTTCATGCAGCCTCAGCCCCTCCTCCCTACCCTTCTGAAGGTATTTTGTTCGTTTAACTAGGAGTAGTCTTTGCACTCATTTCATGTATCCTTCCTCATCTGATCTTAGCCACCTACTCTCAATAAACCAATATTTCATTAAATGTAAAGAAGTCGTTAATCTTCCATAACATAGATATGCTTTTATTTATTTTTAGGGTGATTACCAAATTCCTTGCTAATTTAATTGCCTGCCCTGAATGTGTTTGGGGTACGCAACCCCTTACTAGACTTGGGGAGGGATTATGGCAAGAGAAGTGCTGGTGGCCTTTGTTCCAGTTTCCCTGCTCTTGTCTCCTCTGCCAAACCATTCAGTCCTCCTACCTGAGTAATACCCTTGCACGCTGCAGTTTTGCCGGGCTGTGTTTATGCAAAAGATAAGTTTTGAAATAGCTCAGCTTAGCTGGGGGGTGACAGGCCACAAGCCCCTGTTTCTGCCTCTTTCCTGGCACACAGAGCTGTGCGTGCAGCGTGTTCTCTTCTCCCGTCCCGTACCCTGAGGTGGGGGAGCGGGGTTTTGAGAGGAACCCCTCAGCGTCCCCGAGCGTGCCACCAACCGTATGAGGGAGAACCTGTGCTGCAGGCTGGCTGCTTTGACAAATGAAAGACAGCTTAGGTTTTCACTTGTGAAGATTTAACACGATTGCTAAAAGTAGGTGAGAGATGTTTCTGTACAGTGAGTTAGGAACCGTGCCAAAGATGAGCCAGAATTAACTCTGTGGAAGCGTAGCTTGATGTCACTGTAGAAGTGCTGTCACTGAGGGGAAGAACTGGCTGTTGGAGGACTGTTTAACTGACTGAAGAAGTTGTAACACGAACTAACGGCTAAAACCTGTCCTAGAGAAGTTAAGGTTAAGGTGCTGCTTAATGCTGAGACTGATGGTAGCTGTTTGTTGTCGTTCAGACAATAATTCAGTTGTGCCTGCTGCTGGATTCACTGCAAGGGCAACCGGCTCAGATTTTCTGGACTATCTAAAAAACAGTGGACCAGATGGCTAGTGATGTTTAGCATCCAGGAATATGCTTGTCCCCACAGACAGGGTAGTCTGCAAACCCCGGCGTTTCCATGGGATGCGGAGTGTGTCCCACGTGTACGCACAGGGATTTGGGTTGTGGGAGTTATAGTCTGGCTTACGTGCTGGAGCTGTTCAGCTACTACAGTCATTCTGAAAGAGCTTTTGTGCAGGAACGCTTGGGGCCCGTTTCTGAGGTTTTCTCTCTCTGCAGATGACATCACCTTAACGATAGATGGCAAGGATACCTATGAGGAAGTGAAGACAGCGGGGCGGTACAGGTAACCTGTTGCTGCTTACCTTCTTATCTTGTTTTGGGCAGAGTTTCTGGGAGTTTGTGTCCTGAAGGGAGGCCAGATGGAACACGGCTGTCTTCAGGTCACACTCTGAATTTTTGTCAGAGCCTCAGTTGCTCCCACCATTTTGGCTTTCGGGAAGTGTCGCAGACTCGCAGCTGACTGGCAGGGCCCTCCTGTTCCTGGCAGGTGCTAGCTCTGCTCTTGAAGCCACACTGGGAGTTAGCTCTGTTGGGAAGTCTGCGCAAGGTAACCTTGCCTCATGTGAGCAGCTGCTGGGGCGTGAAGAAGACACAGAGGCTCAGCAGAGGAGTGCTGTACTTTATATCAAGAGCAGGTAGAAGGAGGAGTTTCTCAGGACGGCCCCTGGTTTGGATTTATTAGGTGTCCGGGGTGTTCCCGTGATAGTGGTGGGAAGAGGAGGCAGTGTATGCTCTTGTGGCTTCTGCTTTATCCTCTGCTTGTCTCCCTGCAGGGAATGCAAACGCACCCAAGGTGTGTCCACTACTGACCTCGTTGGCCGCATGCTGCTCATGACTAAGGCTCACCACAGCAACATAGTGAGTCGGAGGGCTTTGGGTGGGAGTGCGGAGTCCAGGGCAGATGCCAGCTCCTTCCTTTTGCTGTCCCAAGTGGCAGCAGAGCTCCTGGGTCTGGCTCCCAGGTGCTCAGAGAACTGGCAAGCTGATTATGGGCAGCGGCAACAATACAACCTGCTTATGTTTGCTTAATCCTGTCCGAGATCACCGTGTGATCTCAGACCACGCTGCTTTGGAAAGGTGGGGGGGGATAAAAGCTTCGATCCCTTGCGATTGGCACAGGCTTCAGGAACATTATGGGCACTGCGGGCTATCCTGTGCCTTATCCGAGGGTGAAACCGCGTAGCGCAGCAACAGTGCTGCCAGAACTGGAAAGTCCTCTTCCTTCCCACTGAGCTGCATGCTTCTGTCTTCTGCTGTCTCTAGTCTTATCAGACCTTTCTTGAGTCTCCTCGGCTCACTACCTGCTAGGAAAATAAAGGAAGTAGCTTTATGCTGGTTAACGAATTGAATTGACTTGGTAAACAAGCAGTCCAGTGAATGGAATCATCTGCGTAACAGCGGGGACAAGACAAGGGACCCACAGGAGAATTCAGGGCTAGAGGGAGGTCTTTTAGTGTGGTGATCTGTTAGATCGGCTTAGCCATAATGTGCAAGTTCATACCAAGATCTGGTGCAGTGCTACGAGCTGTCTTCAGAGGTCTAAGCCTGTCTCTAGTGGAGTGTCTTTGGATGGAGGAGGGACGCTGTCCTGTTAGGGGCTTGTGTGGTTGAGGGAGGATGTAGGTGTGCAACACTCTTAGGTCTGCAGGTTGGGCAAGAGCCACCGTCACTGTGTGGTGCCAGGCTGGGATCAGATAAGGGCACGTTTCGTGTGACTCATGCTGGGACACGACTCTGGTTTAGGTATTAACTAGTTTGTCAGCATTCAGTGCCAGGGATCGATGGTGCGCAGTCTGAGCCTGGACTTCCCAGCACTTCTGACACACACAAGCATGTTCTTGGTTGGATGAGCTGTGTGAGTGCTTAAACGTTTTGACTCTTTATCTCCCTTCAGGATGAGGACCTAGACTATCGGAAGCACACTGACAACTTTGGGAAGGTAATGTGAGTTCTGGTCGTGGACGTCTGGTTGTTGTCCTGTCTGACAAGAATTCCAAATGTGCTTTCTGGCCTGCATTGCAGGCTTGTTTTCCCCCCCCATTTAGTAGTAGCCTCAGTAAATGCCTGCTGCCCCAGACAAGTAGCTGCCATAGTCAGTGAATAGGCAGGGGTTGCCGCACAGGGCCCGCGCTGTGCGTCAGCAGCGCCGTTGAGTTGCTGCAGCTATTGAGCCTTTGCTGGTTTTCTGGCTTGCTTGTAAGTTCCTTATCGCTGCTTCCTTTGGGACCCGAGAGCCCGCGGTTCCCGCCTAGGGACAGCCTCTGTGGGTGCTCCCTTTAGTGCTCATGTTTTTAAAGGTGTGGTGTTAGGTCTGGGAAGTATTTATGTAGCAGGCACATAGCTAGCGTGCTGTACTGCAGAATTCACGTGCCTGGTCTTCAAGTAGCAGAGGAGTCCTCCTGGGGTTCTCTGCTGTCGTGTCCGGTTCACGTCCTGGGCAACCTCGAAAGAGCTATCAGCCCCTTTTTTTCCCCTGGGTCATGGATTGTCCCTGATTAACAAGTGCCTGGACCTACAGCTTGAGTAAGTCTTTTTTACTCGCAGGGGGTTTGCTGACCAGGCCGAATCATCCTCGTTGTTCTCCACTACGTTGGGGTTTTTGAGCAGGCTTTACGGGGGCTGTTGCTCCAGCATGGCTGTTTCCTGGTGCTTGGATCTGGGGACAATGTCTGGGCACCAGGCATCCTGCATGACCCCTGTCAGCTGAGCCCCCCTTCTGCTGCCATTTGCATGCCCTGCCCTGGTCTCAGCTCAGTTGTCGTTCTTTCAAGTCTTGCAGAGCACGTGGCTGTAGAGGAGAGAAGCTGGGGCTGGAGCAGGTGACTCGGTGGCTGTTTCCAAAACTGCCCCGTGGTGGGGACAAAGCTCCATCCTCGGCTGCACCAGTGCTGGGATCTGGCCCTTGCTGGAGCGGAGGGTGATCCCCTCCCAGCTTGGCACCGTCGGCCGGATCAATGGATCGGCTGCCTTGAGGCTTGAGAAGGGCGTGGGTGGGGTGCGTGTTGTCTCGCTTAGTAAGCCTTGCCTCTCCTGGAAATCTGAGACTACCCTGTTGCTTTCCTCCTTCCTGAGCTTTCTTCTCGGCATCTCCTCAGCTGGCTGTTGAGGGGACGATTTGGACAGTGTTTGGCAGACCTAAAAGGGCTTTTGTGAGATTGCATAAATATTTGGTGCCAGGAATGTAGAAGGTCCAAGCTGCTAAGAGCTGTGATCCTTGCTAGCAAATTAAGGCTAGCACATTGCCTGCAGCAGCGTTCTGTGTGTTGTCCAGGAGGGGCCTCCTGGAGCATGAAAGGGAAAGGTGTGTGGTGTGTGTTTTCCCAGGGCCCAAAGGGTCACAGTCCTTGGACTGGCGTCTCGCAGTTCCTACAAACATCTCAGAAGATCATCCAGTTTGCATCAGGGAAGGAGCCACAGCCAGGAGACACCATAATCTACGTGGCCGGAGCCTTCGACCTGTTCCGTATCCTTCACTGTTTTGTCAAGAAAGTAGCCTTGGTCTTTTTGTACCAGGATATTTACCTCTCTGGGTCTTCTCTCTTTCTCTCTCTCTCTTTCTCTGCCCTCCCCTTTTCTGTGGGTATGCATGTGAGGGAGGAGGCAGGAGTTCTTACTGGCAGTTTCTTAGTCGCAGGACACTGAGAAAGGAATTATAGGTCCTCTGTAGAGAGATCTGTGGCTGTTGGAGGATTTCAGGACGACAGCTGGCTGCTCTCCACACGCTGATGGTCACGCTCTAAGTCCCTCTTGAGGACGGGCTGTCATAGACCAAGCGACTGCACAGGGCGTCTGGAGCAGACACTGCATTCCTGAGGCCATCTTTGAGGCGTTGTGCCAGAACACCCGAAACAGGTAGAAATTCTCAGCAGAGGCAAGGTGGAGCTGAAAAGATGTCTGGCTTTTGCCCAGAACCTGTGGAGCCTGAGGAGGGAGGAGGCAACTGTTCTTAGGACATAGGCAACAAGTAATGCCAAAATAAAATCCTTGGGATTCCTGTCTCCCACTGTGGTTTCTCAGTGCATGTGTTACTGTCTTCCTTTCCCTATTTTCTGTGTTAGCTTCAGTTCCTTAAACAGGTCTACAGATATTGGGCACGTGGATTTCCTGGAGAAGGTTCACCAGCTGGCAGAGAAACCCTACATCATTGCTGGGCTGCACTTTGACCAGGTCTGTATACAGCGTTGTCCAAAGGCAGAGCAGCTTGGCGCCTGTTCTTTCTGAAAGAAGGAGGCTGTGCTCTGGAAGACAGGAAAGGGGTGTATTGGCCAATACGGAATTTTCGTGTTGGGAGAACGTGAGAGGAAAAGGGGATTGCTTTGTCTCTCTTCTAATTGAGCCTGATGCTTTGTCTTAGGAAGTAAATCGCTACAAAGGGAAGAACTATCCCATCATGAACATCCATGAGAGAACACTCAGTGTCTTGGCCTGTAGGGTAAGTGCCTGTTGGGTAGGTGCCTCTGTGCTGTTCCAGAAATTGCCCGGAGCTGGTGGTGTTCACCTGTAGCCAGCAATCTTGCACGAGTTCTTTGGTGTACGCTGAGAAGGCAAAGACAAGACTGATCGCTTTAGGCTGCCGGGGGGGCTGCTGTGCTCTCGGGAGGAGTCGCCGGGCTCCTCTGTCGTCCTGGCTGACCTGAGCTATTGACCCTGCCTGCCTCCGTTCGCTGGCGGTGGAAAGGCAGGGTGCCGTGCACGGTGCTGCTCTGATCTGCGGCTGTGTTCCTGTAGAAAACTCTGCTCCCTGCAGCAGGGGAGAAAATTCCTGGGGAAGAAATGTGGGGAGGCCCAGGAACATGTGACCTGAGCAATTAACTCTTGGATTTGCTCTGTACGCACTACCCGAAAGCCTGTTCTTTAGTGGAACGAAAAGATGCTGTGTGACAGGCAGTGTCTGCTACACCCACTTTCCCGTTCCCTGGAGTTCCTAACTCTGTAACCAGATGACCTGCTCAAGTCTGTTTAGGAAGCAGGCTGGCCTCTGGTTTGGGTTTGGGGTGTGGTTTGGTTTGGTTTTTCTTTTCCCAAATCTGTACTGTCTACTGGTTTCTTTTCTAGTATGTCTCGGAAGTGGTGATTGGAGCCCCCTATGCTGTCACTGCTGATCTGCTGGATCACTTCAGGGTGAGAGTCTCTGCGTATGGATGGAAGTGAAGATGTTGGCGTGTGATGTGGTTAGGGAGCTAAAGTGGTGCAGGAAAACACAGGGATGTAGAAGAGAGACGGTCCTGCTCAGCAGGGTTACAGGGAGCCTCGGATACGCTGCTGAGCCTGGGATGGGAGGGGTGGCTCTGCTGATCTCCAGGCTGTGCTGTGGTGAGTGTGGTGGCAGGCAAAGTCCCTGTCATCTTTTGGATCTTGCCAGCGACTTTGTGTCCTCTAGGTCACGCTCGTCTGTCATGGGATGACTGAGGTGGTGCCAGACAAGGATGGTTCTGATCCATACCAGGTAAGCCACTAGCTGCTGTTGTCTGTGCCTCTTTGTCAGCATTTGGTAGATACAGCATGACTTCGTTCGTGTTCCCGAGCTGAGAATTTGTATTGCAGAGGATGCCCCCAAGCCAGTCCTTGGCAGGTGATGCTGTTTTTCATCCCTCCCTGAGGGCAGCTACTTGGAGCAGAGCCTCTAAATCACTCACAACAGCTTCCTTCTTTCAGTCACTGTTTTGTTTTGGCTGTTCCTGATGCCTTCGTGGCAGAGTGAGAAATCCTGTAATTTTTGCTCTGTGCCAGTCCTGGGCAACCTTGCTCAGCTGCTGTGTACGTGAAGCTTTGCTGTCGGCAGTTGCTCTGCCTCCTCAGAGACCGTTTTGTGTCGTGCCTGGCTGGGTGCCTGTGGCACCTGCTGTGACTTCTGTGCAGCTTTCCCTGCCGAGCTGTAAACCCAGAGGTGCTGCGTGTTTTTCACAGCTGAGTCTGCTGTGTCGTTCACAGGAACCGAAGAGACGCGGCATTTTCCAGCTGGTGGACAGTGGCAGCAATCTCACCACAGATTTAATTGTGCAGAGAATCATCAAGAACAGGTTGGCTTTCTTCGTCTCCCAGTTCTGTCGCGTACTGTTCTGTCCAGCTTGTCTGAGGACTAATTAATGGGGTCAAACAGGAACAGAAGGGGTTGTCTAAAGGCGCAGAATCAGTGAGCTGGTCTGTCATCTTCCATAGCTTGGGCAGGCTGCTTAAATGTGGATGTACTGGACTGTGCAGGAGAAGGAACAGCTGAACTCTACTATGCCAGAATGTGCTGCACAGCATGTTTTATAACTTTTCCTCCTCCTCCTCTGGTAATGATAAAATTTCCTTGCTGTATTCTTGGTGATTTAGCATGTTATTTCTTTCAGAGTGTGCTCTTTTAGGCCTGAGCCCTTTACCTTCAGTGACCGTGGCTCAGGTCTGCAGTAGATGTGATTTTGGTATTACGGCACTAAGGGGTCTGTCCCAGGGCAGACCAAGTGTGGAACAGCAGCACCCTCTGCAGAGGGAGAAATAAGTAGTGTTTGGCCAGGGTGGGAGCCGAGGACTTCGGAGTGATGGTAACGGTCGCGGGAAGCTCTGTGTGCTGGCTCTCGAAGAGGTGTCTGGGGGTTACTGGTGAGGTTTCTGACGTACTCTTGGAACAAAGCAGTGCAGGAGAAGGCAGCGCTCCCCTGCTGCAGGTGCTGTTAGTCTACTAGAGATATGGATGGATGAGAATCTCATGGCATTTTGTGATCAATCCAGGCTGGAGTTTGAAGCTAGGAACCAGAAGAAAGAAGCAAAAGAGCTGGCTGTGCTGGAGGCCATGAAGAGACTGGAAGAGGAGAAGCAGTAGGCCAGCGGAGAGCTGATGTGTGGGTCGCAGAGTGCCGCAGCCTCTCCCTCCTGAGGAACAGACAGCTCTTCGAGAGGGGACCCTGAACCGGGCACCGCTGCAGCACGCAGGATGTGCTGTCCTAGCTCCTCCTGCACTAATTACGCAGACACAATGAGTCAGGATCCTGCTGCCTAGTTTTTCCTCCGTTAATCAGCCCCCGTCCCCTTTCCCAGGAGGAGACTGACAAAAGAAAAAAAATTGTTTTAATGATAACTAATGTTTTAACATGTTGATGTGCTTTTACCTTCTGCCATTTCTGGCTTTTAGTAGGAGGGAGATGGAGCAGCTGCCCAGGCCCCCTCTCCCCTCCGGGCTGGGCTGTCCTGCCCTGAGGCTGCGGTCCAGAGGAGCCCTTCGGGCAGGGGCAGACTGGCGAGAACGGCCCCCCCAGGGAAGGGACACGGCACCCGCAGTGCCTCCTGCGAGCTTCCCGTCGGGGACAGCGGGCCAGTGCTGCGCCCGCTGCGCGGGGGTGTGCCCCGGAACAGGCAGCGGCGTGGCGGCTGCTGAGAGGGGTGGGTGGCACAGGGACCCGGCTCTGTGGTTTCCATGGTGGGCTGGGGCATTTCTCCGCACGAGGTGGGGGAACCACGGGGGCTTTTGGCAAAGGCTCCGCTGTCATGAGGCAGCAGGACCCCGTGCTGTGTGTAGACCATGCTCAGAGCCCTGCTGGCTGCTGCCGAGGGAGCCCACCCTGTGCCTGACAGGTTACCAAAGGGAGGGAGGGACCTTGTCACAAAATTCCACGGCTGTTTTCTGGGGGCTGATGTGTGGCATGCGGGGAGGTGCGGGGCCTGGGGAGGACGGGGGCTGTGCTGAGCCCCTTTCTGCCTCTTACATTCCAGGGTGCTGTGGTAGGTGTCCTGGGCTGCTCCCTGCACGGTGCTGGGCAGTCCTTCCGCGCCGATTCTGTTGTCCTCTGTTGTAAACTTTTGTTGCTGATCATTAATAAAATGTTGAAGAGTCGTGCGTTGGTCTCTTTGTGGCTTGAGCTGAGGGAGCTGGGGAGAGGCTGCTGTGGCCCAGGAATGAGCTCGCTGCCCTCGGGCAGCCCATCCCAGCCCCAGCCCTGGGCCACGCTGGATTTGTTCTGGTGCAGGGTTAGGGGTTGTTCTGGCCTAGAAGCCATTTGTTCTCACTGTGGGAGGAGGGTTTTCCTTTTTCCTGAATTCAGTAGAAAATTGAACTAGTCTTTTCTCTGCTTTTCTGTGTTCCAGGGTTTTATGCTTTCTGAACTCTGAAAGTGCAGCAGACTTTGTGCTGGAAAGGTGTCTCAGCAGCTGGGTGGGCACATAACTGTGGTGGGTATGGGGGCAGGAGCTGACCTGAATTATTCTGCTGATGCCTTGGTGCATCGCACTGCCAAAGCAGCATCGTCAGCCGCTGCAGTGCCTGGAGGGGCTGCGTCAGGCACAGATCGGCTGTGGAGCTCGGGGGCTCACGGCTGCACAGCTGCTAATCCCAGAGCCTGGGTTTGAATATTGGCATTTCAGTAATGAATAGAATACAATATTCATAGACTATATTAACGTGTCATCCGTGACAAGAGCTAAGATACCCACCTGTGTGGGAACGCTCCACACCAAGCACCAGGCAGGGGGAGGGACCGGAGAACTCGGAGGCTCCTCTCCTCTCCCTGGTGCACCTGGCAGCCCTTGGGTGCTGCGGCAGCCACCCAGACCCATACCCGCGGCGGGCTGCGCGGGGG